AAGAAAACCACTTTTATCATTTAGATGTATGAAGAGATTCCAGTAATTTTCTCTGTGTATGAATATATATGAAATTGGAATCCTATTGTCCTCCCTAATTTTCTCAAGGATTGTAACAATATCTTTTGGAGGCAGACAGAGAAGACATTTTTATTGAAATTTAAGTGATGAGAAAACTGGTACCATAGATAAACATCTAATAAATGGCAGAGTCAGGAATAGCAGCCCTGAATCCTGTCATAGTTCCAGGCTCCTGCTGCCGCCCATGAGGCCTCCTGTTGTTCTTACAAGAAGAAACTGTGCATTAACCGAGCATCAGTGGAACATGGGTTTGCAACTCGACGTTCTTCCTCAGGAAAGGGACAGATTTAAGCTGATTCAGTGTCTGCACTGCAGCTGTGCAGTGCACAGGGGCACTGTCTAACATTTCCAAGGGACACAAGGATGGAGCACTTAGGATCTCATCCCTGGGACAGGCTAACCAGCAGAGTTAGGTAGGCACCATTAAGATTCAGAGTTTCCTTCCAGTAGCCAAGTGACATGTGAACAGTGATGGCCTGGCTGAAAGCATGCTGCTGTGGGAACCACAGCCATAGGTTTGATTCCACCATAAACTAGTGGGTAGTACTCCAGTCCATGACCACTGACTATATTCTACAACAATGTACACAGTAAGTGCTCAATAAATGTGCATTGGGCTGAACTGAATGTTTATTATTATTCAGCAGTGATAGTCGGCAAAAAAGGAGGTGAGAGCAAATGTAAATATCGCCACCACGACACCCAGTCCAGTGTGAACTAGCTTTCTGTTTTATTCTAAATAGAGGACTAAACTATAATCCCCCAAACACAAACACACGCCAGACTGTTAGCTCTGCAGATGAGGGAACCATATCTTATTTATCTGTGTGTCCCCAGAATACCTAGCACAGAGCCAGACACATTTGAAGTGTCAATGTTTTTTGAATTGAATTATATTTGCTTGGCTGGCGTGGGAGTTAAAAAGCTGTTGACTAGTAACTCACCATTCCTTTCCCTGGAAGCTCTGTAAATCAAGCTCTTAAAAAAAGCAGCAAGCTAAATTCCAAAACCTCTCTTAGGAGAAATGCCCACGGCTGGTGGGGTCTGGACTATGTCCACTAAATGTGCAGCTCTCTTCTGCACAAACATCACTTGCTCCCAAGGGAGCCCCTGACTGGCTGACTGGCTGTGGAGACTCACACATTCCCTCTTTCCCAATGGCAGGAGGGTCAGGGGAAAGGGGTGGGAGTCGATGATGAAGCACTGCTGAACTAAATGTTCTCCTCTTCCCAGGAGAGGGAAAATCTCCAACAGTAGGAGTGTTGGCACTTTTCTAGAAGAACAATCATAAAGAACATGGGATGTAGTTGGAAATGATCTTTTCTGAAGACCAGTTTCTTTTTTAAAGGGCCACCCTCATCTTCCCTCTTACCTTAGACTGGAAGGGGGCTATTGGAATGACTTTGCCAGAGCTGCTAGAATCCCACAAGCTGGGATCAAAGTCGCCTGGGCAGGTGGAGGGGTCCTATGGGGTACGGGCTGAGGAGCCATTAGGCCACTATTTTTCTAAGTTTATCTAAGAGCGGTAACAAAACCAAAACCAAAACAGTGTTTGCTAATAAGATCCTTTCCTTAAATACTGAGCTGAGTTTGAAGAAACTGAAATAGAAATTACTGATTTTAAAGAGGGTACGTATTACATGGAGCACTGGGTGTTATATGCAAACAATGCATCATGGAACACTACATCAAAAACTAATGATATAATGTATGGTGATTAGCATAACATAATAATAAAAAAAAGAAAGAAAAAGAAAGAAAATAAAAAGAAATTACTGATTTTTCTGGGAGACAATCAAAGCACAACTCACAGATCCCCTAAGCTCTTAACTCTCTTGAAGATTTCATCACCACGTAAAATCCACAAGTTTTTATTGGCAATGTTAGGTTATCAACTGCTCCACCCTCTGAGGTGGTGCCCAGTATGACTCCCAGGTCCACCTCCATTACCCATTCCAAGGACCTGCTGGCAAAGTCTGTTCGCCTGGTGCCCTGGTCTAGCCTCGTAAATTCTTTCCAGGGGAGACTTAGGACACACTGTCCCAGCTGTCAAGTGCTCTACTTATAAGGTACAGAATTTATTAGTGCAAAGAAAGGTAAAAAGAAAGCCTGCTACCTTACGTGCTTTTACGTTTGGGTTTTTTTATTAGAGTTTGGTGTTTCCAGAAATATATCTGCCCAGCTCATTGGAGCCTTTGTGCTGAATCACTGGGACTCGTTTTAGCTTCCCATGGACCTGAGTGAGCTCTGCGGCCACCACCTATCAACCGAGGTCTCTTGTGCCATGCTTTGAAAGGAGTTATTCGCAGCAACTCTCATTTGAGGAGAACAAAGCCATGAGGACTTGCATCTTTAACATACACATGCCAGCAAAGGCACACAGAGAGTTGATATGGAACCCAGGTCTGTCCAACTCTGGAAATCCAGCCTGTCTAGTCACCAAAGACCATCTTTTTCTAGCCTAGGGTTTTCTTCTCTCCTGTTCCTTAAGATGCCCGTTTCCATCTCCAGGCCCAACTGAGGCAAATGTTGGCCTCAGACCACAGGACAGACACCAAAGAGTACAACAAAGAAGAGAAAAGAAAATCAGATTTAGAACTGCAAAACTCTGAGAGTCCCAGTTCCCAGTACTTGTCGGACCTTGGATAAGCCACTTAATATCTTCATAGAACCCTACTTTCTCTTCAGCAAAGTAAGTATAAATAGTCCTACTTCTCTCACCAGGCTCTCTTCAGAGAAATTACAACAAAGTGCAATTATCTTGTTTATATGTTTACTTATTTTCCATTTCTCACTATGCTTTATTAGCTTATAAGCTCCAAGAATTCAGGGACCTTGTCTTTTTGGTTCATTAAAGAGGCTCACTGCCAGAAATAATGATCAGCATGTACTACATGATCAAGAGGAGTGAGTGAGATTTGAGTGAGGGAGGGAATAAGGCAAGAAGGAAGGACAGAGAAAAGGGAGGACAGAATGGATGGAGCATTACTGAGGTACCATATATGAAAGTGGTCTGTAAGTTATTAAGTATTACCCACATTATTAAAACAATAACTAATAGTTGATGCGTTAATTATACCAGGGTGATATTTTAAAAATAAAAGCTAGATCATATTATTTCCCTGCTTAAACCCCTCCACTGGCTTTTCATACTACCTACAATAAAATCAAACTCCTGTTAGCTTACAAAGCCTTATGGGATCTGATCTGACCCCTGGGTGGCCTCATATCCAACCAGTCTCCCCTTCTCTGCCAGGCTCCCATCACTCTGGTGTCCTGTGTTTCCTCAAACATGCAAAGTCCATTTCCACTTTGGAACCTATGTGCTAGCCCCTTCCCCTGCCTGAAAAATCCGGATGGCTGGCTCCTTCTTGTCATTGGGCTCTTGGCTTAAACGTCACCTTCTCAGAGAAGCCTTCCTATACACTCACTCCAAAGGGGCCCTCACTGACTCCTTGGTATAGTACTCTACTATTTGTTTATTCATTTATTTATTACCTGTCTCCTCCCCAGTGCCTGATGGTTAATAAATATTTATTTTTGTGTGACACTGTATTTGTTTAATGATGACATTTCACGGAGACTTTTCTAATTATTATTTTATCTCCACAGGTTTATAAGCTCAGACAAACAAACAAAAAAACACATATGGTTCCAACCTGAAAATTTCCTCTCCACTGTACATTAGCCCCCACTGGTCCCCCCCCCCCAACACACACTTGGAGAGAGGTAGCCTGGCCCTGTGAATAAAAGCAACTGTGCCAGTCAGTTCTAATATTTGTGACTTAACTGGAGACACGTACAATCAGTGATACAATAACTACTTCGTCCTCTAATCTATAAGGATTCTTTTGAAACATGAAAATAGTACCATTGGGTGCCAAGCTGTTCTCTGTTCTGGGCTTGGAAGCCAGCCTCCTGGCTCAGGGTAGGGGTGAAAATGAGGGGAATGCAGGGCAGAAATAGGCAGAGGGAAGCAAATGGCAGGAACACTCACTGGTTCCAGTTGGGTTTGCTTACTGTGGATCCAAGGGCAGGAGTAATTTTGTAGGAAGAGTACTGGACTAGGGCACACGGAAGGGTTCTAGAGCTGGTTCTATATCTTCCTCTTCCCTCTACTCAGACTATCAGTTCCTCTGTTACAGGAGGTGCAACTGGATCTCCTCAAAGGGGAATCCCAGCTCTGACAGTCTATGAGCTAATGAGAGAAGTCTGACCTTTCTCTGTGACCATGATGTCTGTGAAAAAGATGACCCATGTAATATTTCTGATGAATGCAGCTTCTCTGGACGAAGTGGGATCTCTCTGATAGGTCAATACTGTCACCCAACAAACCAAGATCACTGCTCTTGACAGTCTTCTTTAGCCTCCCCTTCCCTTCTCTTTCCTAGGGAAGTTGGTGTCCTGGGCAAATCCCCTCGTTGTCACATAGGGATCAACACCTAACTGCAAGTGCACTTCAGCTACTCCCTAAGAGATGGGTTCCTACTGCATCTGATCTTGGCCAACACGCTCCCATCTGCTTTCAACATGTTGCATCTGACGTTAAATAATGTCTCCTATTAGCATTAAAAGAAAACAATCTGGAAAAACTCACTCTCAAGCAGAGTTCAAACAGGCCACAAGTTGATGTGGAATCTCAACTGCACAAGGTTTGTTAAAATAATAGAGTAGTAAATAAATACATAAATGTATATGTGTATATATGCGTGTGTGCACATAGATGTGTATGTGTGTGTGTAGTGAAGCCAAAAGTCTGTGAAATGGGTCAAGAGAACAAAGACATGAATACTTCTGTCCAATTTATAAAATTACCTGGTTACAGAGGGAGGAGAAAAATTCTCTCAGTGTGGAACAAGGCATGGTCAAATACCTGAGTGACATGGAAGGGGAGTTGGGAATCTTTATCTCACACTTACTGGTAATGGGTTGAAATTCTGGTCCACGAGGTGATTGTATCCATGGTCAAAAAATGAGTGTCGTATCACAACATCAATGCCCTGATTGGCCAGCATTCCTAAAGTGTTCAACCATCTAAAAAAGCAGGAAAAATGCTACATCAATACCTCTTAAAAATTGCATATAATAAGCTCTACAGGGATTGGCTAACACACACACATATGCACCAATACCCACAATGAAATTTACCTAGTTCTTTAAAGGAGAAGATAGTATTTTAAGCATTGAGTACACAGCTGGAAGACATTTTAGGGATTATCAAATCCAACCTCTTCATTTTATAGGAAAAGAAACAGAGGTCCAAGGGAGTAAAATGAATTGCCCTTCTCCATAAAATATCTTGTTGCTAATGACTTATCTTATCCCTGTAATACTAACAAATAAAATGAATACCCTAGCCAATGTAAGCCTAATTATCACCCTCCCCGCCCCCTGGCCACAGGACACACAATCACAGGAGCATCAACACTATACTCTCCGTCACTCAAACTCCCCTGTTTGCACCCTGTCCTGTACATGTAGCTTTCATGTGACTCTAACTCACATACTCCTATGACTTAGGCAAGAATGGTCCAGCCGTTTGCATCTCTCATATATCACTGTCAACAGTCAATGCAATAATTTTACTTGGTACTATAATTAACCATGCAGAGCTTCAACTATGCTACCACCACACACATCATAATGGAGGACCTGCATTGCTCACATACTCCCCATAGTTATCACATACTCCCCTATGCCAAATACCCACTTTCCGGGGCATGCTATCCTTCAAAAATACTGCCCTCTTGGTTCTTCCAACACCCACCGCTAACTCTGCCCTAATAAGGGCAGAGTTATTTATGCATTCAATTTGTTCACTCATTTACTCATTCATTTAATTTTCTCTTTGTATTCCTACTTCTGAAACTTTGGGAAATTTCTAATTGTAATAATATATATATAATAAGTGTGACTGAGATCTTCAGTCTTACGGTCTAAAAGATCAGGTGTTTCCCAACCCTTCCTGAGGACACATGTGAGCCTTCATCTGTACCCCTTCTCCCCTCATCTCTCACCCTAAACTCCATTCCCTGGCTCTAAGCCCCCTATAACTACTCTAGGCTGCCCAGACTCACCATGCTTTCACATACTCACCTGAGTCTTCATACATGTTTTAACTTCTGCTTAGAATTCCCTTTCTCTCCTCCTCTAACCCACCTCACCTCATCTGGCAAATTTCTTCCCATCTGTTCATCTCTAAGTCAAGTGTCATCTTCCAAACTCTGCTGTCCCAGCCAACAGTGGTACCTTCTTCCTCTGTACCTTCACAGAACTCTTATTTATACCCTCTGCCCGCCCACGATAATTACTGCCTTACTTCTCTGCTGTCCCCCAGTTGGTTAGGAGCTCACTGAGAACAGACAGGTTTTAGCTTTGTACCCAAAATATCCACCTCAGCTCCTAGCACACTGTAGGTGCTTCATACTCTTTGTTAAGTTGAAATTGATCTGGATAAAATTGGATTTAAGGAACTATGAGAATCACCATTCAGCACACGAGGGACAAATTATGCATAACTATGATTTCCCAAATTTGAAACCACATGGAACTCCAAATCAGTGACTTATAGAATTAAACTTTTCCTTTATGGGAATAAAAAGCATTGTTAATTTTTATATTATAAATGGATATTATTAACATTTTAAAATCTTTTTCACATTGACAATTGTATTTTGTTCTCATAAAAACTAACAAATATTTACTGATAATTAGAATTATAAAAACAAAATAAAACAAAGCAAAATGCAAAAACAAAAATTTTAAATCAAAAAGAAAATCTGACAATAACACAACTGAACTTTTGTTGTTGCTGTTGTTCAGACTGGGACATAAAATTACTTTGGAATTTACCAACCCTGTGAAATCAGGATACCAGATTTAGTTATGCTAAATATATAACTAATTAATTCTATAACTAACAAGTTAATGTATACTAATACTGAGACACAGTATTAAATATCCTGGGGTAGAACTATAACATGAATTCTGGGTTGATGCTCTAAATCAGTGCTCTCTCCACCAATGCAACAAGAACGACAGAGTCCATATTTAACAAATATTTACCTATAAAAACAAGTATGTCTTATTCAGCCTTCTATACCTATGCTTGCTGAACAAAGAAACAAAATGATGAGTAAATGCATTATCACATCTAGCAGCAGCTGGATATCCATACAGGACTGTATTTTGGTATTTAAAATATCCCATTTGCTCATTCATTCATTACTCATTCAACATGAATTAATGAGCTGTAAATGCAAGGCCTTGTTCTCAGCACTGAGGATAGACACAAAAATGCTTGTGTGACCATGTGAGTCATTTGTAAAGCACTGGGTATGCAAATACCTGTATACTCATTTATAGGAATGGTATCAACTTCCTACTTGTGACCTCGATAGACCTTATAACAGTGATGTACAAAGAATATATACTCAACAAACTAATGTTAACTGGTAAACCTGGGGGGTGTTTTTGCTAGTATGGGGAGTTTTTGAAGGAACTCTAATATGAGAGGGAAGAATATGCATCCTCCTTTCCAAACCCACATCCTATATGCACATCCAGGGTCTGGAGCATTCAAAATGACTATGACCAGAACCCCTGCTTCCCTGTGCTTTCCAGAGTGGGATGGTTAGAGGAAGTTATCATCCTCTTCCTCTTGTAAATAATAAGCCCTCGGAGAGGGGAGATAAATGGTGTTCCAAGTCTCCCTTTCAGTGAAAAGTGGCAAGACGACTGGTACATCCCACCAAGGGTGCTACTATAGCCAGGAGTTTCCATTCCACACAAATGAATTGACTACTGACTGGGTGGCAGATCCTGCTAGGTGCTGGAGACACAGCAGTATGCCAAGGGTGTGTCCGTAGTGCATCAGAGAGTCTCAAAGCCCTGGTTAGAATCAGAAAGTTCTGATTCACGCCTAAATGTGCAAGTGTCCTTGTAAGCTCGTTATTATGCCATATATTGAAAAAAGCCTGAAAGATGCCTTCTTTCCAAGGAATCTTGCTAGCTTTCTAGAGCTTCTTAGAATGCTTCATTCTCCCCAGGAAGCAATTTATGCTCCTTGGAGAACTAGACTCAAAGGACACTTTGCTGGGTTCTGCCAGCAGAGGGGAGAGCAAATCAGTGATAAAGAGGTAAGAGAGAAGACCAGGAGCCAAGTGAGCTAGTTTTCAACTGATCTGTGCCCACTACACACTGGACACCTGAACTACAACCTAACCCTGACCAACTATGTTAATCTGTGTTTGCAAAGTGGCCGCAGAGATCTATGGAGATTTGGCTGGTGCTCATGAAAAGGCAGGTCTCTCTCCAGCTCCCTCCATGAAGGGCTGTAGTGTTTCCCATTTCACATCATTCCCTGAAGGGAAGAATGCTCATGGAAACACTCAGGACAACTGGGCTGCTTGCTGGCCCGGCAGAAGAGTCTGTCTATGATGGCTGAGCAAAAGCCATTCCTCTGCTGGTTCTAAGAGGCCCCTGTAGTCCTAACTGCCACTGGCTTCCTGCCTTTGCTCCACGGCTCACAAGGAAACCTGGTGGGGAGTGTATTTTTGAAAGAAGATTCTCAGAACCACTGTATCAAATGCTGATTCATTCCCTTTCATTCACTGGAACCATGCTCATCGAACAACTGCTCTGTGCCACTCAATGCTAGGTGCTGGGAACACAGGCATGGAAGACCCAGCATATCATCATATATTTTTTTGGACTCGTTATCTTCATCTGCATGTGCCAGGATTCCATCTGCAAAGACAATCTACCTGGCTGCTCTGATTTGTCCTTTAAAAATGTATTCAAGAAGCGGCCTTAATGGACGGAAACTACATGTGTTTAATTAGGAACAGCTGTTAGTAAGGAAACACAAAGCTGAGGGCAGAGCTCAGCTCTTAGGAGGACCTTGCCGCAGACCCAAAAACCAGGGCCACGGGACTAGCGTGGCACAGGACCAGTCACTTGGTGAGTCCGTGGTCCTGAGGGGTCTGCCCCGCCATAGGATGCTGCCAGGCCAGTGAGAGCCCCTTAGGCTTCCGGTGTTAAAGTCATTGTCCAGATAGCTGCAGAAGCCTTCAAGTCCATTGTCCCATCGCTTGCCTCTCCAAACCCTTGTGCATACTATTCCCAAAGCCAACATGGAAACACAGGTCAGACGGTGTCTCTCTCTTCCTCCAAAGTCTTCCGTGGCTTGCCACTGAGCGTAGAATAAGGCTTCCCTTCCTCTGCCTGGCGTTCGCAGCCTTCCACGACTGGTAGAGAACCCCACACCCCCTCACTGCAGTCCTCACTACACCCCTGCTGCTCCTGAAGCTTTCGTCACACGACTTTGCAGGGAATGATGTGAAATGGGAAACACTACAGCCCTTCATGGAGGGAGCTGGAGAGAGACCTGCCCCTCCCCTGTGCCTTTGCCCATAATGTTCCTTCTGCCTCAAATGCTCCCCTCCACCATCACCACCACCCTCCACCTGTAGAAATTAGAGTCATCTTTCTATGTCCCCCTCAAATGCTACTTCCTCCATGAAGCCCTTGCTGATCTTCCTATCAGAGAAATTCCTGATTCCTTTGACTGTCTACCACTTCTTTTTGTGGACAGACTATGTAAGGCAGAAAAGAAAGATGGTCTAAGGTAGCAGCAAAGAGGCTAGACTGTGAAGCAGACTGCCTAGGCTTGAGTCCAAGCTCTCACATTTATCTCATTGGGTGGTTGTAAAATAGTAGTATCTGTCTCACTGGTTGATCAGTTATTAGACAGAGAGCACTTCAGAAAGCACGTGGCATATAGAGTTAAAATTTTTATTATGACACTAATCTCCTCTACCTTTTCTTATCTCCTGTCTCTGCTCCTCCAGTCTTGCTCTTACCTGTCTCCTAGGACTATGGTGAATATTAGATGAGAAATTGTATCTTGTAGGCACTGTCTTTGAACCATAGCTATTAAATAAAGGTCTTATGGCTATATGCTCACTACTACTACTATTACTACTGCTGTCTTTGCCCTGATGCCTGCACCTGACATCTTAGTGTCTAGAGAATTCATTCATCACTGTTTGTTGAATGGGTTACACCCATTCACAAAGAAACAGATAAAGAACTTTCAGTGAGAAACAAACCTCCCCCCTCCAGCAGGCAGAATAATGAGTAGTACCACTTCACTGTCCTTTCCTCAAAGTCCCTGGGAGTGTTACTCACAAGAATCCTGCAGCATAGGAATCTGATAGATTGTTTGTGCCTCCAGCAGAGGTGGTCACCACACCTTCAAGCCAAATCTTCTTTCCCGGGGTATATGTATTAACCACCTGTTCACACAACAAAAGCAGAAAAGGATAGGAGATTTTTAAAAGCTGTTTGCAAGTGAGAAGGAGGACACATTCCCTTGATGGAATTCTGCCAATACCCTGCTCCCAGGTGGTCATGATCTGTGCTTTTTCTATGATGATTCACCCCATACAGTGAGCTGGCCTGCACCCCCCCACACACACACAACACACACACACACACACGCATTAACATTGACATATGTCCACTCAAAGAAATGATCATTTTTCCCTAAGTAAATCCAAGTGAAAATACGACCGTTAGAACAACTGCATTTTCCAGGACATAAGCTGACTGCAACACCATTTACTGGAAAGCATAAATCATGTGATGCTTCCATATTAACAAGAATTGGGAAGGAAATTTTCTTAATACTCTGTTATGGAACATCCCAGGGTGAGTCTACTGTCCATACATCAGAAATCATAAATCATGAGGGCAGAGGTCAATGTTTGGGGGAAATATTTTATAATCACCAGGGCATGTATGTATATTACAACCACTTTTTAAAAAAGATTTTATTTATTTGACAGAGATAGAGAGAGTACAAGCAGGGGGAGTGGCAGGCAGAGGGAGAGGGAGAAGCAGACTCCTCGCTGAGCAGGGAGCCTGACGTGGGGCTCGATCCCAGGACCCTGGGATCATGACCTGAGCCGAAGGCAGACGCTTAACTGACTGAGCCACCCAGGCACCCCACAACCACATTTTGAAAATAACTGCAGTAAATATTTAAAAAAATCACTGATCCACAGATGAAAGATCCCACCTCGGGAGCTTTCCAAGCAGAGACAAAGCCTCTTGTTAAAAGGTGGCCCTCTGAAGTTTTGAAATGGCCCAGTCTCTGGTCCCCAAGTTGGAGGCTGGCCAGACTCTCCAGATTAGGGCCCAGATCCCCTAGACAGCAGTCTGGCAGTACTTAGGGATAATGTTGTACTCCGGGAAGCCCCTGGAAGCAGAGCCTGAGACAAAGGCTTATCTATAGATCGTTGATTTGGGAAGTAATAACAGGGAGCAGGAATGAGGAACCAGAGGACTGAATTAGGGAAAAGGCAAAACCAGTACCAGGATGTGTTTTCAAGTTGGCAACCACTGTTGGCAACTTGTACTCAACCCCACAGGGAACTTGGTAAGAGTCTCAGAACTTCCTCCCAGGGGAATTCAAGGGGAAGCATACTTATCCCTTGGCTCCTACCCTCCAAAAGGTCAAGAGTAGCGTTGGGACTATTAACCTCTGCCCCTCCCCGTTACCCAACTTAATTGTGTAGGCCTGAGTGTTGAGCAGGTTCCCTGAGTTCTGCATCTCTGCTTTAGTGAAGTCCCAGAGCAGGAAATAAGAAGCAAGGTTGTACCACATCCCATGGGCGCCGAGCTGGTGACAGCCTGTGCACCTGCCAAGCTCTGACCCCTGCAGCAATAGTTAGTACAGGAGGTAGGACTGAGAGGGTGCCTGTTATGCACAAGGGAAGCCGGACAAAGACAACAGTGTATTTGCATCCTACGGCCCACCAATCCCTCCTAGGCATACAAACCAAAGGAATTCTTCCTCAGGCCTCTAAGGAGACAAGTATGAGGATGTTCGCTATGTCATTGTTCCATACAGGTTTCCATTGCTAGAGGAATGGAAAAGTAAAAGGTGGTGGGTAACATACCAGAAAACATTAGGCAGCAGTTGGAGCACTAGAGTCAATGTAAATCCAGCAACAGGAATTAGCTTTAAAGATGTAGTGGTGAGTTAAAAAAATAGCAACAGAATGAGATTTATGTCCCAATATTAATGTAATTACTCATTCACATCCACTAACACTAAATAGTTTCTAAAGATACACGTCTCTTAAGGACATGTACCAAATGCAGAAGGAAAGCATGCATAAGAGGGAGGTGAATGTGAGCAAAGATTAGAGATCAAGGTGAAAATTAAAACAAAAACAAAAATTAAAACAAAAGGCTTTGCATGAACTGATGATAGTCTGCTGTAGTTGAGAAGCATGATTTTAATTTAATTCTCTGTACCTCAGATCCCCAAAAAGAAAAAAAAAATAACGTAAGATGTAGCATAAATGCCAGAACTTTCCTTTTCCCAAACCCGGAGGCAGACATCAGCAAACAATCATGTTCCTCTTTTCATCTCTCCCTACATATAACGGCTTGTCTTCTCCCCGCGTCTACTAGAGTATTTGAATTATTTGAGACCTATTTTGGAATCAAGGTTGGCAAAGTGCTCTATCCTTTCAGAAGTAAGTTGTAAAAATATTTCACAAATTTGAGATGGAAGTGAGGATTGTGATCAAGGATGGAAGAAAGATCCTGAGAATTAAAAGTGGAGGTTAAATTGGAATGTTATTAAAAATTAAGTAAGAATTCCCCCTTGTCCCACAAAGAGAAGAGTCACTGAGGACACCACAAGGTCGTTCTCTCTCCCTTCTCAATACTGCTCTGGGTGCCAAACCCAAAGGGACCCAGAGATAGTATAATAAGAAAACAAGGAAAACACCTTAAATGATCAAAAGACAGAGCTGTATGGTAAAACTGGACTGCACTGAGGGTTCCCCTCAAAATGTAGGGCTACAAAAACTCTCTGCTCATGAGAAACTGTGTGCTCCCTTTATAGCTAACTAGAGTGGAGTAACATATTTGTGTTTTTCTTTTTTGCCTTTGGCTTCCAGGATATTCAGAGTTTAATTTTTGCTCAAAGACAGATATTAAAATAAGGCAGTTAGAGAAAAGGGGTTAAGCAAAACAAAAAGGTAAAATTATAGCATGATGAACCTTGAAGTCATTAAGCTAAGTGAAAGAAGCCAGACACAAAAGGCCACATGTTGTATGATTCTGTTACATAAAATGTTCAGAATAGGCAAGTCTGTAGAGACAGAAAGTAGATTAGTGGTTTCCTAGGGCCGGAGAACGGGAGGGGAAATGAAGGGGAGGAGTGGGGGGGAGTGACTACAAATAGATATGGGGTTTCTTTGGGGGGTGATGAACATGTTCTAAAATTAAATACATGGTTTCACAATCCTGTGCATATCTTAGAAACTACAGGATTGCACACTTTTAAAAGGTATGCATATATTTCATGGTATGTGAATTTTATCTCAATCAAAACTCTGTGTGTGTGTGTGTGTGTGTGTGTGTGTGTGTGTGTGTGTGGTGTCATTAGCAAAAGGAGAGGTAGAGTCTAATAGGCAGATAACTACTGTGGAAGTAGTAATGTAGCCTGGAAGTTCTGAGTTTTGCCACACACTGGTCGTGAGATTTTGGGCTTGTTATTTTCTTGAACTTTCTTCATCGACATGTAAAGCCATGCATTGGGAGTAGAGGAAATCTAAGTTCCTTTTAAATACAAAATGTTAAATGTTAATTGTATCGACATTTTGTAACATTAATGCTGATTCCCCTGGGCTCCTATTCCTCAACAGTCAAGAGCATCTTTGATTATGTAAGTCAAAATTACATAAACAACAAATATGGGAGACAGAAAAAAAGAGTCAAGCTGGAGGTAAATAGTGAGAGTGGTAGAAAAAGCCATTGGAGATGAAATTACCTAAGGAGAATATCTAAAAATGAGACTAGAAAGGGGCTAAGGGTTTCCATCCCAAAACATTAAGGCATTATCAAATGCATTTATTCACTCACTCAACTGATACTTATTGAATACCTGCTATATGCCAAACAGATTCTAGGAGCAGAAATACAGCAGTGAGTGAAACAGAACAAGGCTCTGCTCTCTTTGGCTTACATTTTAGTCAAGGGGAAAAGACTAACAATAAAAAGTAAACAAAAAAGAAGAAGATAGCAGGGGGGGCGGAAATCGGAGCGGGAGACGAACCATAAGAGACTATGGACTTTGAGGAACAAACTGAGGGTTCTAGAGGGGAGGGAGCTGGAGGGATGGGTTAGCCTGGGGATGGGTATTAAGGAGGGCACGTTCTGCATGGAGCACTGGGTGTTATAAGCAAACAATGAATCATGGAACACTACATCAAAAACTAATGATGTAATGTATGGTGATTAACATAACATAATAAAATTAAAAAAAAGTAAAAAGGGGGGCGGAGCAAGATGGCGGAGGAGTAGGAGACCTGGATTTCGATTGGTCTCAGGAATTCAGCTGAATGGGGATCAACCCATTCTGAACACCTACGAGCTCAACAGGAGATTGAAGAAGAGAGTAGCAACAACTCTCTGAACAGAGAAGCGACCACTTACTGGAAGGTAGGACGTGCGGAGAAGTGAATCCGAGGCGATATTCGGGAGGATAGACGACGGGGGAGGGGGCCTCCGTCGGCCGCTTCTGGCAAGCGCTAGAGCCGCGGAGCACAAAATCGGACCTTTTAGAAGTCGGCTCCGCTGAGGGACGTCGCTCCAGTGGCTAAACTGGGGTGGAACCCTCGCGGGACAGTGTGGTCTCAGGACCCTCGGGGTCACAGAAAGACCGGGGGTGCCTGAGTGCGGCAGAGCTCCCAGGTATTGGAGCGGGGAAGCCGGCTGCAGAGACGGAGCCGAGGCGCGGGCTCTCAGCTCGGGGTGGCCATAAACTGTGATCCGCAGCCCAGTCGGGCCACTGCTCCTCCAGCAGGGACCCAACAAGCGGCAGATCCGGGGAGACTCCCCTTCCTCCCCCGGGAGGAGCGGCGCGGGAACGCACCGCAGGGATCTGCTGGGTTTGGAGACTCCACACGGGGTTGGGTGCCAGAGATAGAAACGCTCGGTTGCAGGCCGGGTGAGCACGGAGTGCGGCCGGAGACGGGGGAGATGGGAGTGATTGACTGCTTTTCTCTGGGGGCGCACTGACGAGCGGGGCCCCAGATTCTCGGCTCCTCCGGGCGGAGATTGGGAGGCCACCATTTTCACTCTGGTCCTCCAAAGCTGTGCCGGGAGCTTTCAGGGAACAAAAGCTCCTGAGAGCAAACCGGAGCAGATTGCTTAGCC